TGGAATCTTTCCTGAGACCCGTAGTTTTCGAATGTCTGACTCTACTCGAATATTACTACTAGCGTAAAATATTTTGAAGCAAGTAGTTCGAACCAACGTCTAGTCAGACATAAGAAAATTCTCTAAAATCTTTTCTGAGAGCTGTAGTTTTTTGAATGTCTGACTCTACTCGAATATTACTACTAGCGTAAAATATTTTGAAGCAAGTAGTTCGAACCAACGTCTAGTCAGACATATGAAAATGCTCTAAAATCTTTGCCGAGACCTGTAGTTTTCGAACGTCTGACTCTACTCGAATAGTACTACTTACGCAGAATATTTTGGCGTAAGTAGTATAAGTCAAAGTTTAGTCAGACATGAGAAAATTTTCCTTAGAGGAATATTCGAATAAAGACAGACATTTGATATAAAACACTTAGTTTACAATAGTGTGCGTATTTTTCCGTCCCACTTTGCACAGACTGCGGACTGTCAAATACAGTACTATATGTATACTGTTTTTGGTGTGGTTAAAAAATATAGCACACATACGTTGACATGGGTTTACAAGGTTGTTTTAAGTTATATAAGGATCGGAGATTTTATCTTTATAAAGAGCTTTCCAACTACGTATACAAGCATCACTGTGTAACACAATGTCCGTCAGTGTAAGAAAGAGCACATCAATGTTTCACTCATACTAGTGGACATTGTGTTGCAGTGTTTCCTGTGTACGTAGCTGAAATGCTGTCATATAAAGTATCTAAGAAATTAGCGAATGAGTAAAATTTTCGAGTTGCGTTGTTTCTTTTGTCAATAAAAATGATTTATCTAGTAAATGGTTAAATACCAAAAAATAAAGTACATTACACTTTCGTTACCGTAAAATTCGTATTTAAGAGATCAATAGTAAACACTGGAAACATAGAAAAGAACTATGTCTATGTTTGAACATAACGTACGTACCGACAAGTCGTTTGTGGACGTGGCTACGTAGTTGCCAATGTGCAACACACATGGACAGTGCGTTAGCGTACAGGGCGGTAAAGCAGTTATAAAGTTTCTTATGGGTCTGACCTCTCTCAGTTTTCTGTTTGTTTTATGTAATAAAGTAGGGACAGTTTCGGTGCAACTTGGTGCAGATGTGTGGTGCAGCACCAAAAAATGTACGCATCTTTATTGTATATGTGTAGGCAATCGAACAGCTGATTCTCGCAGTTTAATGTTAGCATGGCGGATATTCAAGTATAATTCTCATTAAATTTTCAGTATATCGATTTGCAAACGAGCATCGTGTTGTTATGGCTCTTAACACTCGTGAATAATTTGTGCATGAAAAAAGTACGTGCCGGACTATGCTGTGAGAGCCACATTGGATGCTGTGATCAAATTTGAATTTTGCACATTTAGCTGTAAATTGATATTGCATCTCGCAATTTTCACCGAAGTTCGAAAATTATGGCCAATCCGGCAGTTAACACCACTAATGGATATAATTTTAAAGTAGTTCTGCTTGGGGAAGGATGTGTCGGCAAGACTTCGGTTGCTCTTCGATATGTCGAGGACAAGTTCAATGATAAACATATTACCACGCTACAGGTGATACTCGCGTATTTTTTAAATGTACTGTTGAGTTTTCTTCGTGTGAACCAAATTTTTTCTATATTATATAATTGACGTTGGTGTTGTCGACAAAATATATAGATACTTTTAAATCTTTTGATTTAATGTTGTGGTTTTGGTATAAATAAATATTTTTATTATATTATAAAATTTATTACAATATTTGTACGTGTAATATATGTAAAATTTGTGCTTTTCTTACAATTAAAATTTTTTTGTATCTAGAAGCAAGTCTTGATATCGAGGTTTTAATTACATTGATGTGTTATATAATGAAATATATATAATTTTTATCAACTTAATCAAAACTATATATATAGTTTTTATTTAAGCGATAAAAAGTATATAAAGTTTTTATTTAATTGATAGAATTTAATAAAATTTTTATTTCGAATTTTATTTCGATAATTTTATAAGTATTGTCTTATTTCAGGCTTCCTTTCTCAATAAAAAATTAAACATCAATGGTAAAAGGATTAATCTAGCGATATGGGATACAGCTGGACAAGAGAAATTTCACGCATTAGGACCAATTTATTACAGAATGTCCAACGGTGCCATTCTTGTTTACGACATTACAGACGAAGATACTTTCCAAAAGGTATTGCCCTTGCGCACAAATAAAAAGTAAAAAATAAACTTTTGTACATGTGTGTGTGTTATTATCAGGTCAAAAACTGGGTAAAGGAATTGAAGAAAATGTTGGGGAGCGAGATATGCTTGGTAATAGCGGGCAATAAAATGGACTTGGAGAAAGACAGAAATGTTTCTATAGAGGAGGCGGAAGAGTAAGTTGGACGATCTGGTTTTTTTGTTATTTATCGTAAAAATCGCAAAGATTATATTTCTCAACTGAAATTCATGTGTTTGTTTTTTTTTTAACTTAGGTATGCCAAACAAGTAGGCGCTATGCATTTTCACACATCGGCCAAATTGAATCAAAACATTGAAGAAATGTTCTTAGATTTAACGCGACGCATGATGCAACGCGCGGATGAAGCAGAGCAAAAATCTACTCTGACGAGGACTAACAGTGCACGTCGAAACGTAGTTATGGTAGAGGACGAGACGGAACAAACTCAACCAAGCAGAGGTTCTTGCTGCAGTGGTGGCGGCGGCGGCGGCAGCAGCAGCAGCAACAACAACAGCGGTGGTGGTGATTTCTCGTAGATCTCTTGAAATTTCATATTTCGTTTCTGATAAAAGAGGTCTAATCCACAATCGATCAATGCACCTTGAACGTGTGACGAATATCTGAAAAATATTGTCTGAGATACGAATTTGTTGTTACTACGAGTGCGAATCATCTGTGCACGCAGCTATGTGTGTGTATGTATGTGTGTGTGTGTTATGTAACACATACGTAGGTATGAATGCGTGAACGTGTGAACAACCAAAAAGACGCGTGTGCCGTTCCGAGGTATTGTATAACAAATTATTCAGCGAAAGATTAACCAATCACCAGATAAAAGGATAAGACTAGACAACACAATTCTGTCGTGAAAGTTTTTAAAGACTCGGAAACAGGAATCGTTTCTCATTTTTTTACTCAAACCCGATAAGTTTGGAGTAATGTACATATGTTACGTGCGTCTATAGTTTTATTGTACAATATTATATAATTTGCAATATCTCGTTTCTTTTGTTTTTTTTTTTTTTTTACTAAATAAGTTTGTAATGAGGATTTATCGTGTCGGAGGTTTTGAAATTTTAATTCTAGCGATATATAGAAATTGTTGTGTAAAAAAAAGATTAAATTATTGTTAATTGTAAGTTACTTCGCTACGCAACGTGTTATTCCAATATTATTACCTCATTGTTCGTCGTATTCGTCGAGGGTGTTTGCCAGCGGGTTTTTTGTTTGTAAACTGTAAATAAAACTATGAGGACCTACAAATAACATGTTTTATTACACGTTCTTTTGTTTTTTTTTTTTTATGTAACAACAAGGAATGTAAGTGGCGTCAGTTCTATTATACAAATCTAAGTCGTCGTTATTATAACAAATTAAAATTTCACGAAGAAGAAATAAGTGTCTTGATCGAGGAAAACACACGGAATTTCGTTTGCCAGTTGTTTTTCTTTCGCCAGAACAACATTTTGTTAATTCACATCGTTATTACGTTATTATTGTTATTAAACGAATAGATGTGTTTGTTTATATTTCGTTCAGAATTAGTAATAGATCGTACATGTTCCGTCTGTGTTATATATATATACATATATATATATATATGTGGATAATTTTTATCTCCGTATCTCTCCTGTATTTTCACTTAAATATAGTATCGCGTATACTACAACATTTGTTAGACCACAACTATTGTTGAATTTATAAATTGGGTGTTACAATATACATGTAAATACAACCCTGTATGTGTGTGCGAGTAAAAGGATCACTCAGAATTTTCGACTGTACACGCAAACAAAATGTGAACGAATTTTGTTTCTTTTTGTAATAAAAAAAAAAAAAAAAAATTGAACACAATAAAACTTGTTTTTTTTTTATTATTGAAATAAAGAATCTTATATCGCTGCGAACCTTCGAAGTTACGTAACTTCGCGTATATAATTTGTATTAAGAGTGAATGTGAAAGATTTATTATCGGGGCGATTCGAACGACTGAGTAATCGGACACACCCGATCTCACTTGTAAAGTTGATACCCGGAAAAATATCCGATTATCCGAGCGTTATCTCATTTGGATATCTAAGAATGTGCGCGCGTGTGTGCGCACCAGCTTATAATCTAGAAAATGTGACAAACAAATATAGTCTCAGATGTCACTTTTATTTATTATCTATCTAGAGAATAAGATTTAAAATTTTTTTTTATCTCGTATTATTTTATTATTGTAATATATATAAAGATATAATTTAATATTCATATATAGAAGAGGATAAGAGGAAGTATCGCAAAAAATCGCGTTTTCTAGAATCCTAGACAAATAGTTACACCCGACACTATATGTTTCTTGACACAATTACTAAATTACAAGCTGGTGTAAACACACACACACACACACACACACGCACTCACACACATACTCTTAAAACTTATTTAGAGAGTATTTGGATATCGTCTTACAGACGTGTCTTATTACACAGGTGTTTTAATTGAGAAATAGAAATAAAATACAATTAAAGAGAGACTTTAAAAGATCGTAAACAAGAAAAACAAAAATTTGTACAACCTAAGAAGAATTCTACTTCGTTGTTTTTAAAACTTTCGTATTAAATTCGACGTTAATTAAAAATCACAATCCACGGATCCCGCAATGTCAATCGTGACGCTCGAGAATACTTGGATTCTTTCGAACCTCTCTACATATTTCGTTAAAAAATAAAAAAAAAAATAAACAAAGTAAATATTACTTCTAGATAATCTTCTTACATGATATAATTCTCACACTGCGTGACGTTTTTCTCATGTATCTTTGGTATTTATATATTCGGTCGTAATTTTTCTACATATACATATACTATTACTCTCTCTCTCTCTCTCCTTCTCCGAAGCTGGCCTTCCGACAGTGCGCAGCTAATACATTTGGACGAATTCTACTCTTTCTCTCTCTCTCTCTCTCTCATCCGAAAAAAAATCATATATATATAATTTTTTGTGTAACTACACTTGTTAAAAAAATTTTGTGCAAATCCACATATAAACAAACATCGAGTGGTTTTATATGTTATATCGGGCGTATCATACATATATAAAAATATTTCGGTAAATGAAAGTGCGGACACGTACGTGTTAATGTTCGAGAATGTTACGATTAGGCCCTCGCTCATTCGCTCGCTCATTCTCTCTCTCTCTCTCTCTTTCTCTCAATCTCTCATCGTTTTTTTTTTTTTTAAATAATAAATATCTTATCTTGATAAGTAAATAAAAAGTCTATGAATTGATTAATAGGTCCTATCGCGGAGAGGGACATTCCGCGCTCGGGCGGCGCTCTAACTAAATTTGGTCCAAATACGACCGCGAGATTGCTAGACGTCATCTTGTTGAGGTCGCTACGGTCCATTACCTGCGAAGAAGAAAGGATACAAGTACAGATGTAACATAGAGCTAGTAGAGAAACCTGCGTGTATGCCGGCCGCTATAAAATTACGTACTCTTGACAGAAATTGTACAATGTATTTAAGAACTTGGTAGTTGTCTTCGGGTAGCTTTTCCAATATTAGTATCTGCACTTTACGCGGCCGTTCATCCTTCGACAATGCTGCAAGTAACAAGAAAATAAAATTTATTCCGTTAATATAAAACACAAAAATGTTCGCGAAGAAAATCAAGTCGAGAGATAAAACAACAACGCTCACTTTGAAACTGCGTGATCTCGTCGTACAATTCGTAAGTCATCAGAGGTTCGTCCAGCTCGCGAAGAAAAGACTTGAGTAGAACAGCGGCGATATGTGGATCTCCTTGAAAATCAATAGGCAAGCCCTGGTTGCAACGGTTCTGAAGTTCTTTGATTACCGCAACGTTCGCCGATCTTCTGAATATTCCTTCTGTTTCTAGAGCTGAAGTAACAATAACAATGACATATCTCGTGTCCTCTTTCCGTTCTTTATAAAAAAATGAGGTTTTGTTTTTTTTTTTTTTTCAATTGAAATATTATACCGTCAGGTGTGGCAAGAAATTCCACGCACTGCCTCACAATCGGTGGTATCGGATCGTCGTTGTTGTTTTCCTTTATAAACTGTAGACTAGCGCCGAACTGAGTTGTGCCAACTGGCGTAACTATCGTGCTTTGCGGCGGGTTTGACGGTAAATTTTTCTTATTTTTTAACAGTAATTGTTCATTATGTCTAAAAACAATTAACGCAGCGTTGTCACAAATTTTTACAAATATCTAATACGCATCTTACTTAAATAGAGTAAACATTAACACTTACTCTATAACTTCGGGAGGTATAATTAATTGATTCAAGTTAACATACTGCGCCAACTCCTCTAAATAATTAACATACATCATTTTCCGTCCAAATTTTACACTGCAAAAAATACGTAACGTGTTTTTTGACACAAAATCTATACATTGAATTTATCAAAGTTGAAAAGTTTTCTTATTGAATCGCAATTTATGTATAAAATTATTTATGAATATTATTTTGAATAAAATGCCCCATTGACAATAAATGTAATCTTGCGTTTACAGTTATTTAATTTATCTGAAGAACTCGGTAAGGATTTGAAACGGTTTATTTTTGTTACGTTATCGGTTTGAAGTAAAATGAGTTTTAATTAAAATAACTATTTGTTATAGGTCTCGTTGTTTAGTTGAAACGTCGTAAATTTCTTTTTTTTTTTTTTGATACACGAATTAATACTGACGACATGAGTTTGAAAAAAAGCGTCATACCTAATAGCGGGTTTAAATATTTGCCAGACGATCCTAATAAAATTAGTGGGATGTACGAGATAAAGAGCCTTGAGATTCTTCTTGTATTTTCTATCGAATGCTTTGTACGCTTGCCACAACCAAGTAAGAGGTGGTTTATTCTTTGACGTAAGACCGTAATGGAAATAAACGAGACTGTAATCTTGTTCGACAAACGTGTCTAGAGTATGCATGAGATACCTGCAACAAAGCAAAGAGAGAACCTAGCGTTTAAAAATTTCCATTAAACTTTGCGTACAAAATTGTTTGTGATATTATTCAAACACGAGTTATATAAATATTGAATAATAAAAGATCGGTGTGTTCGATATCAATCGAGTGTAAAAAATTATATACGCATCTTTAATTCTTATTACATACAAGTTTTTTGATTAATTAATATGAAAAAAACAAAAATATTAAAATAAGATGTTATTTAGCAAAATTATATATATATATATAGAGAGAGATTTTATATAATAACTTCTAGTTATTGTGAAAACAATACCGCAGATAAATGACATGATAAATAATAGAATATCATGTGTGCGTTATCCTCACAACGCACCTAAGTAGTTTGGCGTGATTAAAGGTCTCCTTTCCAATAGGAGGTAATTTACACGCCGACACAACAATTAGTTTACGACCGGCACTGTCGTCGCCAACCACCTCTACAATTCCATGTCTAGATATATCGAGATAGTCTTCCTCATCGGCAAGCTCTCCGTCCAAAGCAGCCAGATCTTCCGCTGTTCCATTAATAGAGACGTTTTTGTTGTAACATAAAATTACTTGAGGATTGTTTTTCAGCGTGTATCAGGCATATGCGTGTGAGTATGTGTGTGTGTGTGTGTGTATTTAACAAACTCGCATCAACTAAAAACACTATTGAGGCAAAACAATTTGAGCTCTCAAAGAGCAAACGCTTGTTTCACAGAAGTTTTTGTATATATAAAAGATTATTATATATACATGTTTTGTTCCACGTTATACAACGAACAATATTGTCCCACTTCAAGGGCCCGCCACACGTGTATACGTAAATTGTTATTTCGAAAAGGAGAAGAAGGCTTTAAAAAAAAGCGAAACATTATTCGTTACATTCCTTTTCTTACTTCATCCTTTACACCATGCAGTATAAAAACAAGCTGTACAATGTTCTACATAATTCACCTGCTATGCCCCGAGAATGCCATGACATTTACTGGCTACTAACAGAAGATAAAAGGTCACACACCAGATTCAATAACTGGAGCATCTACCAAAGCTTCCTCAAAGTTCTCCTCAATAGTTCCGTCGCTCACTGGGCTTTCTAAGTAATCCATTCCGGTGATCACATTGCTGCTCACCAGATCCAATTTTTCTTCTAGAAGTTGTGCAGCTACACAGTACAACAAACACGTTCTTTTATAGACAAAAAAATTTACAACTTGTATCTTTTATATTATTTAAAAAGCACATGTGCACAATATTTTAAATAAAGCAATTGTTAAGAATTATACCGTTGTTTGAAGTTGTTTGTAATTCCGTATCGTCAAACTCCAAATTTGGCTCATAGTCGTGATAATCTGATAAACTGGGGTACGGATCTTCACAGTCATTGCCCGTTCCTGATAAAAGTTTTTACAATAACAAATTACGCACACGCACGCTTCTCACTTTTTCTATTGTTCATAACAATATTTATACAACATAGTATAACAGATTACTTTGTATTATCATGTTTTCTAGGATATTAATATGTATTTTATTTAATAAAATTTTATACAAAAACGATTTTTCTAAACATACATTTTTCCATATAATATATACATATTTTTATAGAGGCTACATTTTTCTTATTATATTTATTATATATTTCGTTTCATGTTGGAATATATTTTTTATATAAATCTTTCTACATATTGTAACAAAATTTTTTTCTAGAAAAACTGCATTTATCAGTTTACCGGGGAAAAAGTACATACTCTTATCTTAGGAAATAATGTTACCAAAATAATCCGTTATATGCCATATTTGTTTACCAATACGGACTAGTGATCTTTATCAAAGCAGATAACGTATCGCAACTAAAAGAGCAGCGCGAGATAACAAATATACATAGATATTACATACATACATATATATATACGCGACAAACGTAATGTCACTCGTTTATGTTTGTTGTTAAATAAAACGATAATAAATTTATATTGCGCATTTATACGTGTGACACCGATCGCGATGTGTACCGTCAACAATCGCGACGTCACACACAGAGATGATCAGCCAGCTCACCTGTTAGTGTACGCGATGGACTCATCGTCGGCTGGTAGTCCGCTTCCATTTTGTCGTTTTTGTCGTGGAACGGATGCGGCTCGAAGGAGCCGCGACAACGTTTCGGCTTATCGTTTCTACAAACGACTCACCTCGGTCTCGTCGAGCGTCGACATCATTTCCTCCTCACGAAAAATTAAATATACAAGTTGATAAGACGAGAGACCGAACAGGACAATGACAGTGTTGCGGTAACCATAGAGCACGTATGTAAATACAGACGGGAGTGACAATTCCGATGTGTGTTCGCGCCGATTGGACAACGTTCGGAGAGACGCGGCCTACGCGATTGTTTGCGAGCGCCATCTGTGAGACCAATCCTCAAGTCGCGCGCGACGGTAAAGAAGAAAGTTTGATGCTACGGTCGGTAAAGAAAGAAGTTAACGCTCTATGATAGAAAAGGAAGTTTTGACGCTCTGCGGTCGGTAAAGAAGGAAGTTTGATGCTACGGTCGGTAAAGAAAGAAGTTAACGCTCTATGGTAGAGAAGAAAGTTTTGACGCTCTGCGGTCGGTAAGGAAGGAAGTTCTAACGCTCTACGATAAAGTAGGCAGTTTTGATGCTCTGCGGTCGGTAAAAAAAGATTTTACATTTACAACAATCTGTACTCTTACGTCAGAACAATCTAACCCCAAACGCGTTTCTTTCAGGTGACTTCTGACAGTCCGTTGTTTCTCTTCTGTTAAACGTCTGGTGTAATTGTTAAGTTTTTTCGCAATTTGTGCGTTTTCAAATTAAATAATTATCAATTCTCAACGCCGAAAAATTTTGAATTCTTTCGTCAGTTGTGCAAATAACGAACGATAATTTCTGTTTGCAAATAAATTGTCACATGTGTGTAGTTTACAAAATCATTGCGATATTTAAGAAGAGTGTGTAGAAATAATTGACACAAAACCATTGAGATAGATTTGCGCAACAAAATTATACGTGACTGTTAATACGTACTAACGTTTGTTTGTTTTTTTATTATTTTTCTCGATTTAATTAAAAACAATCTGAATCAGTTGGATATGTAATGAAATCTTAGAATGTTACGATTAAATTGATATTCAAATAAATAATTGCAAATGGTCATATGCGATTGATTCTGTTGAAATCGTGTAAACTAAACAACAACATTCAGAAAACTTGTAAAATAATATTCTCTTTCTCACTTAGGTACTTGAAAAATGGGTTGGACACTGGAAGTGGCCAAGATGTTTATGTACATATCGTTTCCCGTGGGTGTGTTTTACTACGTCAATCAACCGGAATATTTCGACAAATATGTGTTAAAAATTAAACAGAATTACTATCCGATACTGAGCAAACAGACACTTGAAGAAATGAATGACTTTATTCGAGAGATCAATGTAACAGCTGATAAGAAACGTTTAGACGAAATGGAAGTGCAAGAAAAGAAAAATTAAAGCACAGATATTGTTACAAATTTTTTTATTGTTTTTGCGAAAACTCTAGTATATAAGAATATCGAGGTATCTGGTTTTTAATTTAAGAATTAGAAATAAAAATTTATGACAGATGTTGACGCAGTCTCTTTGTAATTCTATTAGTGTATTTGATATTTCATAAGTTCACACATTTACAAAAGCTATTACATATGTACAGAGATATACATATATATAAAGTTATGTTTTTATTTATAGTTTATTTAATTTTTTAATAATATACGTATGTAGTTTTAGAGATACATATTTGTATGTGTGTGTATCTGATAATGAAACTCAATTCACAATAATTTGTTTAATAATCATCGTTATCATTTAGTGACACAGTTTGTTGTGTAGCTTGTCTAAGTTTATTGTTATTTTTGTATTAACTGAGAACTCTAAACCGTGTTAGATATATGTTGCATCTGTGCATATATACAGTGTCGCGTATCGAGCGCACGCACGTAGTACGGAACAGAACCGAGTCAATCGGCGAGATCATGTTTGTTCACCGGGTCCGTCGGTTCACGTCAAAAACGTGCGCATCGCGGCGCTGAACCACGTAAAACGCGCCCACGGACGCTCTCTCAGGCTTCTCTCCGGACCAGTGGTCAATGTCCGTGAATCGCGCGTGTCGTTTCGTGTCATTTTTCAATGATTCGAAGTGAACCCCCCGTTTTGGGTGTAAACAAAATGATTTAAAACATCGTTCGAGGATCTGACGAAAAAAAAAAACAATTCCCGCTGTTCTCCCGTTGGTCGTTCGAGCACCCGAACAGCGCTCGTCGTCATGTGGAAGTGTCACAAATGTGGAAAACCCGTTTATTTCGGTGAGTTCTCGCGATTTTTTTTTTTTTTTCCGACACACTCGTCGAACCCGAGTATTTATTGGACGAAGTGAGTTTTGTTGTTGTCACGTTTGTTGTCATGTTGCAAATTGGAGCGCGGCGAGCGATTCGCTTTTATTACGAGACATTTCGCGCATTCAAATGCGCGCAATTTTATATTCGCGTCGAAGAAAAAATTTGAAAGCTGATCTTTTGTCAGGCAAAGTCCAATTGTTTGCACGTTGCGTCGCTCATTTTGAGATATTAATTTGTTTATAATAATATTTAAGTTATTGTTGTATGTGTTTATATGAACGAATATTATTGCAACGTTTAATTTTACAAACAATGGAAATCTTGAATATGTGATTTTATAAGATAATAAATTTATTAACAAAGAAATACACGAGGTAAAACTTATTCTTCTTGTATATTGTTAAACAATAAATAACTGCATCATGAAAATACACATTATTATTCTGTAGCTGAACGCAAACAGTCCCTGGGATACGATTGGCATCCAGAATGTTTGCGATGCGAGGAGTGCGGGAAGCGATTAAATCCAGGACAGCACGCAGAGGTGATTAAAAACCACAACAGTATGATGTAATGTAGAAAAAATAACGAATTGTAAATTATATGAATTTGTGTTTTGTCGCATCAGCACAAAGGCGTGCCTTATTGTCACGTCCCTTGTTACGGAGCGCTATTTGGACCTCAACTGTTCGGCCATGGCACGAGAGTAGAGTCCCATACAAGTTTTGGGAAAAAAGAAAATCGATCGTCGCTACCAAGGTAAAAAAAAAAAAAAAACGCGAGGAAAATTTGCTGATCAATATTTTATTATTGAAACAAATTACCGAGAAACGATTTTCTAAATGTCACGTTTTTTCATAGATCGCACTTGGAATCGAAACTGAAGGTTTTCAACCAGTATTACGAGGGCAAAAGCGGAGGAATTCGAAGTCGTGAGGTGAAAAACAGTTTTTAAAACACCTGTCTATAAGATCAAACTTCAATATATAACAACAAAAGTTAACGTTTGATGATTGTGACGATTAAAAAAAAAACAGGTCAACGGACGACTGATACTAGAAGGCGCGTTAAGAATTTATTGGGGAGTTCGCGGTGTTATTCATCTGAAGGAGGATGACGATCAACGCACGGTGGTTACCGCGCGGAACAGAAATTCGTGCAGACGCAGCGTTTCTGAGGTTTGTTTTTTTTAGATTTTACTTGCGGTCTTACCTGAGTCTGATGTTGTCGCGATGCATTCGTTGTTTTGAATCCTGAATGCAGGATATTGAGGACGAGGACAAAGTGGACGATGAGTTGCACGCCAAAAGCGCATCGGACAACAACGCGGAAACTAACGCGAAGTCTCCAACGTCACCCGATCACTTGAAGAGTCTCACCTTGCCCATGAAACTGGACGTCAAGAATATGGAGTGGGACGAGCTGGATGAGCTTCTACAGGTTTTGTTTTCTTTCTGCCGCAATATTGCTTTTGAATGAGACAAGACAAAACGTTTGTGACCCTCGAACGTGCGCCTGATTGCAGGTGGAACGAAAGGTCGAGGACGGTAACAAGTTGTATCAGACGATGCCCGAGAATCTTCCGTCTATGAGTTCGCAATCCAGCGTTGGCGACACGCCGCCGCTCTCGTCCCAATCGAGTCTCGACCGGTCGGATTCTCGCGACAACTCGGAAACCAGCAGTCCCAATCACCAGACCACCAGCCGGGACGACAGCAGCTTACACAGCACGCCGACGCACAGCATAGGTAGTTCTTCCAGTACAGACACGCCTGTCTACAATTTAGGAGCTTCTAATCGAAATGGCACGCTTCGAAGAGTAGAATACTTCGACAATCTGGACAAAAACTCGGTCGGGAACAGGTCGATCAGCACCGACGACAGCTGGATCGAGAAGGGTCTGAACCGATCGCTGTCCGGTCCTGACTGTCTCCAGAGACACAGAACCGACAGCGACACGGACTCGGTCAATTCTCTGCAGTTCAGGGAGGACGACAACATGACGATGTCCACGGACAGCGGATTAGAGGTAATCGTATCATCCGCAAACAATCGATAGAAAACATTTTTTCAAACGCACGATCTTTGTCTTTCTCGCTTCAGCTGGATGGCGTCGTTCTGCGTCGCAAGCAAGGTTCAACCGCGATCAGACGACGTCCGGGAGGCAGGCGTCAATCGCGAAGTCGATTGCGACGTCGTTGCTCTATCAACGGTCACTTTTACAATCGAGAGACCAGTTTCTTCACGCCGCCGCACGGCTCGCAGATGTCGGTTTGGGTGACGAGTCTGGTTAACACTCAGGAGGTCATTAATCTCATGCTGGACAAATACAAAGTCGACGCGAAGTCCGACAACTTCGCGTTGTTCGTAGTGCGCGACAATGGTGGTAAGAGTTTCGCGATGATTTGTAGAAGATCGAAGCTTGACCCGCGATCGTATCTTGTTCCGCTACGTGCGATCTCTGTGTGTTTCCCAGAACAAAGGAGACTGAGAGACGACGAGTATCCCTTGGAGGTCAGAGTGGTTTTGGGTCCGCACGAGAACATTGCGCGTTTGTTTTTGGTCGACAAACTGTCCACGCCCGAGATCAGTTCGGACGTCGCGCAATTCCTCAATCTGTCCCTAGCGGAGTGCCAGGGCATACTGCAGCGCTACCACTACGAAGAGGAGCGTCAGATTCTTCTCTTGAAAGAGAAGTACGTAACAAATAAATAATAACAATATCGCGACAATCTTGACAATAAAAAATTCTATATTCTATTTTATTTTATTTTTTGTTTTTGTTTTAATTTTAGGTACAAGGAGATGCGAAGAAGAATAAAGCAGAGAATGGAGGAGCTGAAGGTCCGATTGTAGGTAGAAACGTAAATGCATCCCCACGCGCGAGTATTTTTATAAGAAAATTAAAGAAGAAAAAATTGAGCTTTTTTTTTAAAAAAAAATAAGAAACTATCTCCATACGTGGTAAGAATCTCTATAATACATACCGTATGTATATAACAAGATATATTTGAGTATGTGTTGCATCTACCATGACACAATTATGGCATAGTATCTTTGAGAACAATACAATATATATGTATCTTACACACATATATATATACGTATTGTGCGCGCGACACACGTCCGCGTTTTAGCGCATTACTCGTAGTTTAACATAATTCATTGTTACGTTCTGCAATTTGTATCTCTCCATTTTCTGAATCTCTGTTGTCATTTATCTCATGTTCGTTACGTGTGAAATACGCCGTCAAATTAGTGTGTTTTTATACAAACAAGGAGATGAAATCTCTCTATTAAGTCTATATTGTCTATATAATATTGTTGTGGCCTGTGTGTAATTGCAACACATTGAGTTGAAAACAGATTTAAAAAGAAAGAAAAAAAATAACGTGACTCTAGTAGCTTTTGTAAGATATATATATATATATATATTAAATAAAAACTAATTAAAAAAAAAGGAAAGTTAATAAGATTGAAAACATGGTGCATAAATTATATATATATATATATATAAAAATATATTAGATTTATTATCGCAAACTATTATCAATTGACGCAAATCGACTAATTTTTAATAATAAAGCACATTATTATTATTATATTGCAATATATATATATATATTATATTACGATATCGTATTATAATATAATCAATTTTTCTGCGCACGAGATACAAGTTCGATTGTAGACTTTCGAATGATTGAATTTAATTAAAATTTGTGCAATTTACTTTGAATATTTTGCGTCCGACGTTTCATGGCTCTTATATATCGGCCGTATTATTTTTCTATCGACGGTTTGAAACCAAAAGAGCCATCGTACCAGTTTCTATATTTGTTACATTATATAACGTAGTAGATATATTTTAAGATACTATATTACGATGTAAGTATCTCCTATCGCGGCTCTTAATTGCCTTATTACCTTTTCTTTAAATCGCATATTAATTTTTCGTTTGTCAAAGATCGAAAAAATATATTATGTGATAGAAGTGAAACGTGTTATCCTTGCGATTTCGATATATACATATATATTTTTTTTCGTTAAATTGGAGTTGAAGGAAAAATGCATTTTTAAATTGTCTCGCAACGCAGACGAGATATTAACAGAGTGGTTATTTTGATTACGTAAAGAGAAAAACCACCGCAGCGCAATAAAGATATTATCCGATGTTTCTCTGCGCGTAACGCGCTGTGTAATCTCGACGACGTTGTATTGTGTTTATCGAGCAAATTTCCCGAGCATTCCGACGTTCTCGAAGTGATAGACAAAAAAAAAAAAAAAAAAAACTATTTTTCTATCGGTTTTTGAAAAAAAAAGAAAAAGATCCGTTTATCTCCAATCGTTTGTCAAATGGAAAGAGAGGATCTCGATCGAGAATTTAATAACAACTGTTGAGCCGTTTCAAAGTCTTCTATATTCCTCGCGTGTCAACGTGGCTCGCGATTTGTAAGTGGATATAGGTACGCGCATATTATACCGCATTCAGGTGCGGCGCAATTTGGGACGCTCTCTCTCTCTCTCTCTCTCTCCCCATGGTCTCTCTCCGAGAGAGACCGGGGGAATCATTGTTGCGTACGCGAAACAAATTGCAGATGCAAAACAAAATGTGTGTGCGGTACCGTACGCGGCAATTAATCGTCGGAATATTTGTAACGCGCGCCGCGGATTCACGCGGAATCGCCGTTTCAAGCTAGTCATGTTTCACGCGCTTAGTCACACCGATATCGATTCGCAACATCTCCCATTTTCAACCGTGGAACCAGAGATCCGACGTACACACTACGAGCCACGTTTACACATATTACAAAATATATATATATATAATATGTATATATATATATATATATACGTATCTGCCAGTTTGAAACAATAAATAACGCCGTACGCGGCGCGTTGACACAGAAAGAAAGATATTTATAACACAACACATTTTTGAGGAATGTATCTAAACTCTACATACTTGCATTTAGCGCCAAATGTAACCATCTCTCTAGATTCTTAGGCAGCTTTCGCTAGCGCGGTAGGTAGGGAACAAATGTATAATCTCTCCTCGTTACGTTTTAAGTCAGTAAAAAAACACATTTGCAGATTCGTTGCGCGGCAACGTTAGACTAGATATTTTAACAGCTTCTCACTGCTGGACAAATAAGAATGAGATGCGTAGAAGACGGGATCGGCGAGTAACGCCGATAGATTGTAGAAGTGCGGAGGTCGCACGAACGCGCTTTGCGTCTGGAAAAAAAAAAAAAAAAAAAACAAAGTATAAAACTGAAAGTAAATATCCGAGCACTCGAACGTGCAAAAGAGAATGAATGAAAGTGACGCATGTAACGCGACGTCCCGTCGTTCGCGACGAAATAATAAAAAAAGATGATGCCAGTTGCTTCTCCAGATGTTCGCCGTCGTTTTTTCTTTTCCGCATATCCTTTGTGGCTCGTTGGATGGAGATTTTGTCGTTTTGCAACGACTTCTCGATCATTTCCGCTGGGGAATACAATAACTTCAACTTCTTCCGATTTTTAAATTTTTGTTTTTTTGTTTTTTTTTTTTTGTTTTTTTTTTATTGAACAAGAGAAGGTGGTGCAAAGAGATTTGGTGTGTGTAGAGATACTCGAAGGGAGAAATAGATTTACAGCGAGACGCTCAAAAGAGCGTGGATGAGATTTGGACAGAATGTTATTTATTTATCTTTAAAGTGTACGTATATATAGAGTAAAGTAGATCAATGCAATTGTTATGAGTAGTTATCGAATAGTAATTGTCATACGAGTTGCTAGGAACGAGTATGCATACCCACAACACCGAAGGAGCGTCGAGATCGCTCTTTTTTTTTCTTATTTTTCTTTTGTTGCACGACACTGATATACATTAAACGTTATAAGATAGCAATAACGATTATCACTGCACCACAGACGTCCAATCATCATCATCATCATTATCATCATCATCATCCCATCATCCCGTCATTATCTCTCTTTCTTTCTCTCTCTCTCTCTCTCTCTCTCTCTCTTTCTCTCTCGTCGACGTTAATAAAGTTGCCTTACAGCCACAACTCTTGATTACACGACTTACAGTCCAGCTCTTTTGGCTGGTCACGCGGACGCCAACAAAAATTCAACATACGCGCACGCACGCACGCACGCACACACACACACGCACCGCTCTCTCATCGCACAGATTACAATTATATATATATATATATATATATGTATATATATATATATATATCACATAAACGCGTCGCGTAATTACACAACTAACGCATATAGATCCGTTGAACGTGTTCGGATTCGGAGAATCAAATCGATCGAATCGAATTTTTCGTTGTCGCCGAGTCGGCAAACAGATTTTTATTTTGTTTTTTTCTTCTATATGTATATACGTACATGTATGATGCACGCGCGAGCGTTTTTTTTTTTTTTTTTTTTTTTTTTTAAATTGTATTTCGTTAATTTTTGATGCCCCGGGGCGTTTTTTTTTTTTTTTTTTTTTTCTATTTTCTCTCGACGAAATAGATTTTGAAAAAAAAACTCGAGCTTTTACACCTATCCGGCGGAAGTTGCGAGAATTTTTAAACTATTGTTATTTCGATAGGGTTTCGGAATGGTCATTGCGCGATCGAGCGCGGGGGATATTGCCCCCGATGGAATATTTCGCGGTTTTCGAGTTCGTAAAATTTTCACACGCGCGCGAAATCGGTGGAGGACAATATATATCCCAAACTATGTGCATACAGTACGTACAGAACCGCGATACCGCGCGTAGAGTCGTTTCAAATTGCGTTCTAAGAGCTTTATTTATTAAACATCACCTTTTACACACATCCGGCGTGATATTGCGCGCGTTGCCTCAATTGTCGCGGAAAACACTCGCGCGCGTTTGTTGCGTCCGCATACGAGAATAAAAACTTTCACAGTTTTATATATAAGGCGGGAGGGGGGGGGATCGATGAGGGATTTAAATTGCGAGATTAATGATCGGCGAGCACGAGAACTCGTGCGCGGGCTCGTTTTAGAGCCCCCTTCTTTTTTTTTTTTTTTTTTTTTTTTGCAACTAAATAACTTTAATAATCCAACGTAAAGTTTCTCTTGTGTGTTTTCTCGTTTACTTTTCGAGATAAGTCGCGATCGCGGGCTTTAAAGTCGCGAAAATATCACCCGAATGTATGTGGGACAAATAACGCGAGTGTGTTATAAACCCGGAATTAATTGCGGTTTTGCACGTTTTGGTGGTTATTGTAAATATACGCCGATACACACGCGCGTGTGTGTGTGTAAAAGCAACTTGTTCTTGACGAGTGACGTATCACGGAAAAAAAAAAAAAAGAGATTTGCTAGAACGGCGAGAAGTTATCACATTGGGCAGCGAGAAAAATTCGAGCCTATTGAATGTTTCGATTCGCCAAAACGACGAAACGTTTTTTGTCGACGAGACGAAAAATTCAGTGGATTTTTCTTGCTGCTCGCAATAATAGACTTTTCTCTCCGGATGTGTGTCAACACCTTCTCTAACCCGAATTTATAAATATAAAAAAAAAAAAAAAAATGTGTGTGAAACTAGCAAAAGTATTAATTTCCAGATATATAAACAATGGATTTACAAGTTTGGAACATTTTTTTTTTTTTCGACAATCGAGACGAGCAATTTCCGTAGTTACGGTGACGAGGATGCCACGTTGTGGTTATTAAAAATAAAATTGGATTAAAAAAAAATATCGTGTGACTTCAAAGTTACACGAGCGTTAGAGATGGTCGACTTATATCTTCGCGAGGGCGTAATTCGCGATATAAATTTCTAGAGTTTCTCTCTGTTTAATTTGAAAATATGCGGGCAAAAGCTCGAGCAATTACCACTCGCCTCCCCAAATCACTGCGTTAATTGATTATTCTCTTTGGAGACTCGGCGATGATTCGCTTCGATCGAACAACAATATCTAATTGAAAGAAAAAAAAAAAGAAAACAACCTACGAACCTAATGCGTAAATCTGTACGAAATATATATTCAACAAAAATCTTTCGACGGTTCGAAAAACGAGAAAATAAAGGAACAAGATATCTTTCGTATGTACGCACTACGACTCTGTTACTTTTTTCCCCCAGAGACAAAATGAAATTATTTCGCTATGCTTCCCCGGCGCGTAAAAAAATGTCGCGCCTCGCAAAAATTCGAAGAGAATCTATCCACGCACTCGCAGTAGATTGGATTAAAATTTATACATGTCGTCCAATATTTATTAAGAAAAAAAAAAAAACAAAAAAAAAGAAACAAGCAAACATATCCCGAAGCGATCCCGAAGGTACCTTCCTCGGTTCAATTTAAATATATACAGCGAGGACTGTCGAGTAATGTGTCACAGTTTGAAAATCCTTTAAAAACTATCGAAGCTTAGTCGGAGAATTTAAAAAAAGAAAAAAAAAAAACGTTTTCATTTTCCCTCGCGCGCAGTTGAAACAATAAGTCTCTCATTCACACTCGGAATCAGATGTAACTTTTTTCGCCAATCAATTCCGATCCGGAATAATTTTTCGATCCGCGTTCGTTTTCTTTCGAGGAAGAACGAGGAGAAAAAAAAAAACGATTGAAAAAGAGTCGCAATCATTTCCGAGTGGAATCGGAAAGTCACGTAATGGCCATCTATTGTGTAACTCCCGGAATAATTCCGTCTGTTTTTTTTTTGTCACTTTTCCTCTTACGTACATTAGAAAAAAATAAACGATCGCCGTCTCGGAATTCAATGGAGGTCGTTTCGATATCTCCGTCCGAGGTGACGTTGTCACTTTTCCTTGTCACAAAAATTATTCCCGAAAGCAAACGATCGGAAATTCAAATCGAAACGAGCGGAAATTTCGTTTCGGAGACATCGAACGACACACACGATTCGCGATCGACACGGCCGTTTTGGATTGCCCGAAAAGTGAACGGAATTGGGGGGGTCCGAAAGTTACGGCAACAGATCAGAGAGAAATAAAAAACAAAAAAAAAAACAAAAAAAAAAAGATTTCCGCCAAATCGCCGTTTCGCGCGCGCGAGTCGCATCGGGCGCGCCGGTCCGTCGTTCATTTTCGAGAGAATACGAAGAACGACGCCGCGAACTCGAATTATCACAATCTGCGTGGCATACGTGAGCCTTACAAAAAATACAATACTTGTGTGTGCGCTCGCGACTTTTGTATGTAATATATCACAGACGACCGGCGCACCGTCGCACTAATCGCGCACCACCACCACTTGCGCTCCGTCCCGCCGCCACGCGCGATTTCCGCGCGGAAAAATTTCACGGTGGATGAATCCAAAAGAGAGGGGCGGGGGCACACGACAAACTGCGCGCGGAGGACGAAAATAAAAGACCAGAAAAAAAAAAAAAAACGAAAAAACGAAAAAACTGGGACCACGCAAGTGGTCCGATTCGGCGGTCTCGCAGACGAGAACACCTCCACCTGTAAACTACCACTAAAAGTCGGGGTCGCGAAGTTTCAAAGCGCCAAGATGAGGAATTTTCGTCGCATTTTTCCAGCAAGAATTTTTATTAACAGACGAAACAATATGCGATTTTTTTTTCTTTTTTCTTCAAGTGAGTTTATATAATATGTCGATCTCTCTCGGATCGTAATTTTTTTGTCGAGAAGAGAAACGCCAAGTAAATTTGTGAAAAATTACAGTTTCTCAAGTCGGAGAAAAGATAAAGCGGAAAAATATACGCGCGACACAATAAAAAGTTGAAGTTTAATCAAAAAAATATATATACTCTAATATGTAATTTTTTTTAAATAACATATCGAGAGGGCGCGTTTGAGACTCCTCGACCGTATGTACAATCGATATTAAAAATATGGAATTTATAACATTTATTTCGCAATTACGACAATTTTTATTTTTTATTTTTTTTTTGTATATAAGAATCGAGCTGCCAAAAACACACTTGGGAAAGACATAGAATCTCGTTGTACGTGATGATGTATGTATGGTATATGTGTGTGTTTTCGAAAGGGAAGCAAATGGAAATGGAAAGTGTACAAGAGAGATACATACTCTTATCCTGGTCGAATACATTATTCGCGCTTAAGTATTCGATGTGCTTCTGTTTTTTTTTCTTTTTTTTTTTTTTTTTTTTGGGTTTCTCTCATCCTCCGCATTCACACGCGATAATCTTTCAATACACTTTTCCCTCCTCCTCTCTCTTTCTCTCTTCTTGCTCTCCTCCGCGTCTCGTTCTCCTTTCTTCCTCTCGTCGTTATTCATTGTATTCACTCGTTCCCCCATTCATCCTTCGCGCTCTCCCTCGCTCGCTCAACAATAACAATTGAATATGAATTAGAAAAATAACATTATATATCGTAGACAACAATCGGTTACAATGTATATATAATATATACCGGTATAAT